GTTTTGAATAACGATGCTTAGAGCACAATTTCATTTTAAATTTGTGTAACATAAGTTAAAACTACAAACATTTTCTTAAGTTCTGGCCCTTTTTCATTAACAAAATGAATTACTTCATTATTTTGTTGACAGTAATTATTATTTTGTTGACAAGGTTTTAACTGGAACTTTTTATATTAGGAGAATTTAGAAATAATATTTTATTTTTTTTTAATGTTAATTAAAATTATTTATATTATTGCTTTTTTATTTGTTTATGTATTCTTACTTTATTTGACATAAATACACATAAATAAATAAAAATAAGAATTATATAAATATTTGTATTTAGACATTTAAAAAAACAGATTTATTTGCTATTTTCATTATATAAAAAAAATCAGTTGGAATTTTTTTTGTTTTTGTTTTAGTAAAACAAATCGTTTGTAAATGCTATTATGAGTCAACCATACAGCATGTCACCCTATATTTATCAATTTTTAAACCCTTCCCTCCTGTCATAAACGATCACATATACCTGAATCCCTCTCCCTTTTGAACTGTGATTGCAGTTTTTATTCAAAAATATTTCAAAAGATTTAAATGTAAACATTTTGCAGCATTTTAAAAATTCAACCTAATGAAAAAAAGGCAATACGCATAAATGTAATGAGTATAAGTAAAACTTCGACAAACCAAAGATTTTTATATTTAAACAACTCAAATTAGTATTAAAAAGTGGTAAAACTAAAATAATTTTTCTAAGTTGCTCTTGGTCTTGTGGTAAAACTGTTTTCAGTTTGATAACTTTTATAAATGTTATGAAAAATCACTCAGAGTGCCACCAGTTTTTTAAAATTTCTTTTGTTAATTATTTTTAATAAATACATTTGCAATTGTTTAGTTACATAACTCTAACTCGAAATGATAGAAGTAAAAATCCACGATAATAATTGCAAGGTAACGTAAGTGATGTAACATAAGTTAGATACATCGTATCAAAAAAACCAGTTTATTTTCCTTACCCGGTCACCTATGATAAAATTTTTTATATTTTTTAAATTGGCATAGAATTCTTAACATCTTGCAAAAGTTTCTAATATAAACCGCTTTACTGATTCACAGAAATCTGACCTAAAAGTTGAAGCAATTTTTTTACCTAGTTTTCCGTGTAACGTAAGTTAAGTGGCATTTTTAGTAATAAGTTCATCCTTCTTCAGCCAGACTCAAAATTCTTTAGCTTATTTTATTCATTAGACTAAGAGCTTTCATACAAAATAGCTGAAAGATCAATTTAAAGTTTAAATAAGCAAATATTTGATAAAGTTGTTGCATGAATAATGTAAGTTAAAAATGGAATTGCCCATATTCAAGAAAAGTCACTAAAAAGATGTTATGTGAAGATAATTATGCAGTTCAGATCCACTTATTAGCTCTCTAAGAAGAAGTTTGAGATATATTAAAGAGCTTGAATTTAACAAAGATTAAACTTATATTGTAACTTTTAATTTTAAGTTTTTTATATTTTTACTCTGAATTCTGATAAAATATCTAATAAATTAATGTTTGTTTGTTTAAAAAAAGGGGTAAAAAGGACATTTATGTTGACAGCCTTTCATTAAAAGAGAATCTTAATTTAAGTATTGCATTTTTTGGATGCTCACCTCTCAAACTTTTTTCAAAAAAGTTTAAGTTGCATATGGAAAACGTAAAGTTGATAACATAAGAGCTTTTATACAAAGGGCTGTTGCCAATGTATTAGAAGTAGAAACAGCTGCACTTAAAACTATGATTGAAATTGAAACCGCTTCAAACAAACATTGGAAAAAAATTTATAGATTTATATTATATTTATTAAGATTTATATTATGACTCAATTCAAAATTTGACACAAAAAAAACTCTGAAAAAATCAGACTTTTTACACTCATTCCTGAATGTTGGTCAACAGAGAAAACTTTTTTTTGACTTGTAAAACTCAGCAGTACTTTTTGATCTGTAAAACAAGCCAGAAAATTAGGAAAACAAAGCAGAATACTGTCATCAACCCAATGAATATTCAAGGGTTTGTCCAGGAAAGAGTGTGTCAGTTGAAGTAGATGACATAAAGCAACATATTCAAAAACAACTTCTTTTAGTCAATATGAAAGTATATCATATTGAGTTTTAAAAAAAACATAATTATCTTAAAGTTGGATTTTCAATATTTTGTAAGCTAAGATGCAAGTGGTGCATTCTTATGGGTGGTGCTTCTGATCTGCATCCAGTTTGTATTTGCCAGTACCACCAAAATGTAAATCTTCTTGCAAAAGAAACTCAAGAAAAAGACCAATGACAAAAACTTATTGAAACTAATGGTTTGTAGCATTGAAAATAGAGATTGTATGGTGCATAGGTGTGATAAATGTCATAGAAAAAAGATTTTGTCTGACCTTTGCACTTTGTTTAAGTTTTTTAATTATTATCAATGACAAAAGTCAAATGTAATTTAGCACCAGCAACTTTATCTTGAGATGAGTTTATTGAAATAAAACAAATTAAACAATTTTTAAGAGCATCATTTTATATCCAAAAGTCAAGCCACCTAATTCCAATATTTAAAAATTAATTTAAAAAAAAAAAAGTTTTAGTTCTTTTTGACTTTGTAGAAAACTATATACACAATGCAGTGCAAGGTTTCCACTGGAAAAAGCCAGGCAACTTTGCACCCCATCTATAACATGGAACAGATCCTATTTATTGCTTTATCAATAATATTATTGATATACTTAAACAATTACAAACATTTGAACTCCATCATTAAAATAGATCATGTATCTATTTTAATAGCTGCATCACAATATAAAAATTAAAAAAAATATTTTTTACTTATGTTTTCATAAACAAGATTTTATTATTACTACTCTATTATTACTACTAATCACATGACAAAAGTTCTTGTGATGGAGTTGGTGGAATGGTAAAAACATCTTGTTGTACAAGCAAGTCTACAATCACTTAACAATCCTATAACACATCAGGGAAAATGTACCGCATGTCAAAGGATACAACATGTCAAAAGAATATTGTTTATTTTTCCTGTCAAAGTTTCTATAGAAACCTGGACATGCAATTTCATACTAACTTGATAAAATTAAGAAGAGTTTTATTTGATGGTGTTTGCAGTAATATGAATATTTCTAGCTGCAGAGTTTATATCAATATAAACTCTGCAGCTAGAAACTTCAGTTACACATCAGGAACATAAAAGTGTCAAGATCTTCATATTAAATTTATGAAAAAGTCATCTCTATATAGCAAAATCATGTGGCCATGCAGAGATGATCTCTGTTCATTTTAAGCAAAGCCTAATCTCCTATGGTCCAGCCTAACAGAGAAATATTTTATAATTTTGACTTTAAATAAATCAATAAAGTTAATTTATAATTTGAGATTTTTTTTTTAGAACTTTAATAACTTTGTTCATTGTCTTAACAATTGTCTCCTTTACTAAAACATATAGGTAAATATATTTAAGATATATATAAAAAAATATCTTAAAATATTTAGTGTCATACATTTTGTATTTAAAACTTTAGTAGATTTTTTTCATCATTTAGATTTATGAACTTCAAATGATTTTGTTTGATTTTGGTTTGAAAAAAATTGTGTTATAAATTGGGGGTTATAAGTATTATTATTATTATTATTATTGAAAGCAATATTTTTTGCAATTATAATTAAGTACCCATTAATTTATTTGGTCTTCATAAGTTAACACACGATAAGGTAGCAGATTTTTGCATCAGCGATCAATTTTTAAAAAATATTAATCTAGCTCACTTTGATGAATTATAACTTTAGAATGCAGTTCTCTAACTTGAACTTACTTCTAATACCCACCAGATCAACAATTTGATTTGTTTAATTCTTTATTAAGATTAAGCTTAAAATCACAATTATTTAAACTTTAGCCTGCCATTACGGAAAAACATAAGATGCCAGATTTTAATTTTTTTGTTTTTCTAAAAGAATCTATAGCAAACTTGCTATCTTAAAATAATTGAAAAATTAAATCAACTTGTTCAAAAGTTATTAGCTATTAAAAACGATGGAAAAAACCTTTTTGCTTCTAGAGTGAAATTTCATGCAAAATACCCCAATATTTAATTAGTGTTTTCTTAAGAACCATATAAGATATTGATCTAAAATTTTCAAAACATACTTTTCAGATATATATTTACAAAATAAAAGTTTCAGCAAAACCTTATGTGGTTCATGAAGAACCTCATAAAAAATTGCACCATTTGTAATGGAATGACTTGATTTTTTTTGAAAGATTATTACAGTTCTTTTCTCATCATATAATTTCAAGTGAATTTTTTGAAAAAATAATAGAATTTTTGATCCAAAGAATCAAATATTTATCTTTATTTTTACCGGAAATACAAAATGCTGTTGATTTAGAAAAATCATTTAGCTTAAAAAATTCTTCCAAATGAAAGTTATTGAATATTTATTAGAATGGTAATTGCCATTAACAATATAATAAACAGAGTTATGTTTTATATTGTTAATGGCAATTACCATTCTAATAAATATTCAATAACTTTCATTTGGAAGAATTTTTTAAGCTAAATGATGTATGTTTTATTATGAGGTTATATAATTTTCAGCTATCGAAGTATGGAACTGTGTATTATTGATTGAAACCCAATCTGGAACATTGATGTAATTATTTATTATTATATAACTTTCAGCTTTCAAAGTATTAAACTGTGTATTACTTATTGAAACCTAATATGGGACATTGATGTTAAACAATGTTTTATGAAGTGTTGTATGCTTCATTTCAGCTCACAGGTTAAAATTTTTTATCATAAAACTAAATTTGTTCCTTAACTATAAAAAAAGAAGTACACAACTATTCTTAAAACAAAAAAAATATTCTTACAAAAAAAAAAAAAAACAATTTCACAATTGTCACAAATGACAATTAAAGTAAATTCAAATAAAATACTTTTTAAGAAATAAAAATATCACCTGAGCAACTGTAACATAATCATTTGCTTGTGTATCAGAGTACTTAGCTTGAATCAATAAATCTGCATCAATTGGTGATTGACTCCACAACTTTATTGCAGTCATATAATAATTTTGATCAAAAGAAACTTCAACAGAGTATTTATAATATTTATAGTAAAAATTTCCTGGTGAAGAAATTTCATTTACAATTTCATTCTGTGTATTTAAGGACCGTACATCTCCAACAACTAAATAAATTTAAACTATCAACATGTTGTTAATGGCAATCATATTCTTAAAAAAATCCTTAACATATAATAAATCAAATTGTGAAGAAAAATTAAGTAGAGGAAGTCAACAAAGAAAAAGAAAACAAGAAGGTTTAGAAAGGTTAACAAAAGATAGTAGCAAATTATTGTTAAATATATAAACTGTCAATGACTTTTAAAGCCATTTTAATTTTTATTGAAAAATAAAGCTATAAATAATAACTTGCTGCAGCTTTACAGGTCTCATTAGATGGCAAATCAAAATATCTGCTACATATATAATGAGGCAATAATCAATTCTAGGTCATATAGATCTTGTATAGCCAAAATGTTCAACATAAAGATACATTTGTTAAATACATATATATAAATATATATTCAGCCATTAAAATATTTCTGTTTTTGGAGTAGGTTAAAAAAAGGTGATATTTGAACAGTGAAATTAGACCAAATAGGATAGAAAACTAACCAAAAGTTTCAGTGATGTTAAATCTTTAACCCAGATTGTTAATTGCCTGAGCAATAAAAAATGTTTTAGTGTCACAAGAATTTTGAGAAAAAAATTTGGCAGGAAAAATTCTCTACATGATATACTAGATGATGCAACATTTAAAAAAGAGGAATCATCTTTAAGTAAATGGTAACAAAGACAGTAAAAAATAAATATTTTTAAGCTCATTTATGATATAACTTTATACAATATATGTAAGTTGTATAACTCTAAGCAGTACTATTGGCGGTTATTTGCAGAAACTTTTTTAGTTTTTAATTAGTCAATTTTGATTGATTTATTTGAAATCTGCATGTTGCATAATGTTTAATATTTTAAGTGATTTTAGGAGATTTTTAAGGATATTTTAGGAGATTTGATAAGGATTTCTCAGGAGATTTGATAAGGATTTTTTAGGAGATTTGATAAAGATTTTTTAGGAGATTTTTAAGGATTTTTTAGGAGATTTGATAAGATAAAATTGAACTGTAGTATTATTTATTAAACTTACAAATGTATTACATGCAAATGTAAAAAAAATTGTAAGTGTCACTGTTTACATGAAACTTTTAAATTATGTATTTAAATATAGATGGTTTAAAATAGCATTTAAAGCTCTTCCTTCTTTTTTCATTGATTTCAGTAGTTTACATAATATATCAGAGGTTATTCTAGACCATTTTCGACAGCGCCGACTGTATTTAGACACTGATTTGGGCGCTACCCACATTTAAAAAAAAGGACCTTTTTTTTAAAGTTTTTTAAGGCAAATATTGTTTTTTTTTTTAATAAAAAAAACAGATTATCTGCTAAATTTCTCTGGAACAGGGGGTACCGTCGCCTAAATTTTTCTTTGTAGAATAGGCCCTGTATAATGAGTTATTTTTAAGGTACACAGACTCTTTTTTATAACGGGTTATGCATTAAGTCTTCGAACTGTTGTTTTGAAACTGATTTAAATAAGGAGAGTAATTTTTCAACCTTCAACTTTTTGTTTATTTTGAAGATCAATATTAATGTATTTAAATCACTTTTAATTTTTATCTAGACTTCTATACAAAAAAAATGACAAGGCTTGATCAAGAAGCCCTCGCAAAACGAATTGTAACATTCTATGAAAATCGTTCAAGTGATAAAAAAAAATTAACATATAAACATTTTAAAAATGAAGGAATACCAAAGTCAACTATATTTAGTATTCTTGCAAGGTATGAGAAGTATGGTGTGTATAATGATTTGGTTAGATCAGGTTGTCTTCCAAAAATGGATAAGAAAAAAGTCAAACGATTGACTAAAATGCTAAATAATTCAACTGGTATTAGTCAAAAGTATTTAGCTTCATATTTTAAGGTGAACCAAAGCACAATTTCAAGAACTATTAATTTCAAGAACTATTAATTTTAAAACAGATATTATATGCTACAAAAAACAAAAAGCACCTTTGTATGAAAAAGATCAACAACAGAGTGCAGCAACATCATCGAGAAGATTAGTTAATAAAGTATTCCATGAAAAAGATATAATCATGGATGACGAAAAATATTTTAACCTATCAAACTCAAATATACCTGGAAATGATATATATTATACAAATAATCAATTGTTAGCCCCTGATAATGTAAAATATAAGTTGAGAAAAATTGGAAGAAAAGGTATTGGTTTGGATTTGCATTTCTTCAAATGGATTTTGTGAACCTTATATACATAGATCAAAGAATTCAATAACATCCAATATATATGTGAAAGAATGTATGAAGAAAAGACTTATACCATTTGTTAGAGAACATCATAAAGATAATAATTATGTGTTTTGGCCAGATCTTGCAACTGCTTATTATGCTAATAAAACAGAAAATTGGTTTATTGATAATTCCATAGAATTTGTACAAAGACGCACTAATCCGCCAAATGTTCCACAGGCTAGACCAATTGAAACATTTTGGGCTATTTTAAGTGAGATGGCATATGGTGATGGTTGGAGAGCACGTAGTTGAACTTCGAACTAGTTGATATATCAACTAGTTCGAAGAATAAAGAGCAAGCTAAATGAAATAAAAGTAAATGATCCAGATCTGTTACAAAGACTAATGATGAATGTTAAAACAAAACTTACAAAAATTGCTGATAGAGGCGTCTATTCAATATGTTAAATATATTAATACTAGAATGAATGTTCTTTATTACCATATAGTTTCATTTTTTTATCTAACTAACAATATTTTTTCACGACTATAAAAAAAGTTTGAAGACTTATGCATAACCCGTTATATTACTATATGAATATAAATTATTGTATACAAAAACAATTTAAAATGGAGAAAAAAAAAATTTTTGTTTTCAATGTTACTTAGGTGATCTAATAATACAAATAGTTCAAAAATGGAAAAAAACAATTTCAAAATTTTACTATTGCAACAAACTAAACTATTTAAATAAATACAAAGAAACTTTCACTTTCATTTTCAATTTTTTTACTTAAAAGCAGTGCTTTTCACCACTAATGACTGTTAGAATATTTTTATGGTCTAAAAATAAATAGTACAAAACATCAATAATTAATTGAAAACAATAATAAATCAAAAATACAAACCAGTGTTTTCATGAGTACACACCAACTTTATAGCATTCGGTAATGCTTTTAAAACATTTTGTGGAAAGTCAATAGGTGTTTGCATCATTAAACATAACCCATTAAAAATACCATAATTCTTTCTCAAAGTGTTTATTATACTTGTCAAATCTAAATTTTGATCATTATATAAACCATCTAAAGTTATTGATACAAAATTATTTAAAAAGGAGGCATTATTGCTCAGCCAATTGTAATAGTCTGAACATTGAAGTGCTGTTGTTGCATCATGAGGAAAAACTGAAAAGACATAGATGTTTGCTAAATATTTTGCACTTGAACCAAGAGTGTTCTGTAAACCATGTATATTCAAAGATAGTTTTATCAAATTTTCTGTAGATAGCAAGAAAAAGTTTTTGAAAACCAAAATTGTCTCAGACAAATTAGTATAAGTAACATTGTAATCTGATACATAAAACTCTCTCCAATTAAGGTTAGATGAAAACGGAACTAAACATTGTAAGAACATAAATGCAATAAGTTTACTAACTATAAACATATATTGATAATAAGTTTAAATCTAGTCTTAAGTAATTGTAAAAAAAAAAAAAATTGAAAATTGAAAATATTAATATAAGCAAACTTTTATTTTGAAAATATTATAATAATTTCTTACTAGATAAAACTGTTTTATCCAAAGAGAAGAATACAATAAGAAAAAAAATCAAGTAAAACTGTTTTAATTACTGACAAGGATTGCAATAAGGAAAAAAATAATAAAACTGCTTTATCCAAATTAATAAATCTTTCATAAGTTTTGCCAAATAGAATGCCTTATTTATTTGATATGCAGGCATATCAAATAAATAAATTTATTTGATATGCAGGCTGATATCAAATAAATAAATTTTCTTTAACATCTAAAAAGTCTTTTGCAGTTTTTTTTTAAATATATAAACAATTTTATTGAAATTTCACATATATAAAAAAAGCATAAAAAAGCAATATTTAACATTTCATTGACCTCCCTCAAATTCACATTAAAATTAAATAAAACAAAATAATGCACAGGACTGAGTAAAATGTAAATACACAAATATATAATGCTTAAATTTAAAGTACTTTATTTGCTCTAAATCAAGGATTTCTAGTACATACTAAAAAGTACATTCAAATACATCTTTTGCAGCATAATAAACAATAATACTGTTGATTGATTGTTATGCATCTTAAAAAATGCAATAAAGTCTTTTATATATTTTTGCATATTACATAGCTTTAGTATTAAAAATTTTGTGTATTTTATTAGTGGGAGAGAAATGTTTATCTATTAATTTTAAAAATTCTTTTGCAGTATTTGTTAAAAGATTTTTACTGTACAGAGGGTTTTTTATTCTGATTCACTCTCAACAAGGTTGCAAGCAATCAATACTAGTGAGATTAGATTCAAGGTCAGCTGCTTGTTCTAAGCAATTGAAAAGAAAAAACTTTTTCTCAAGACAGGAGCATAATCATATATAAGTTAAGACATCAGCAAAAAGAGCTACTTTAGATGTAAGATGTCAAGAAGATCATTATTGTAGATAAAAAACAAAACATGACCAAGGGTAAAACCTTGAGGTACCCTAGAAGTTACTGGGTAACTTCTAGGGTACCTCAAGGACTACTTGGGCCTTCAAGGATGATTTAATAAAGCGGTTAGAAGAAACAATTTGATAATCTCAAAAACTTTCCCAGATACACCATATGAAGAAAGCTTATGGAGAAGACCAGCATATAAAACTTTGCCAAAAGCTTTATATGTTAAGAGCAACAGCCCTAGCCTCTCTGACTCAATAAAATCTTTCAGTTACAGCAGTTAGTGCATCAGACATAGAGCGAGAAGATTGAAAACCATATCGATTATTTAACAGTAAGTTACTCAACTCAAAATAAGATGTGAGAAATTTATTGATCGAAGACTCAAAGACCTTGCTAATAACAGAAAGAAGATTGATTGGAAAATAATTGGAGGGGTCAGAATGTTCACCAGAGTTTTGAAAAATTGGAACAACAGATGCCATTTTTCAGCAGGCAGGAAACAAGACTCAGTCAAGCATTTATTAAATAGTTTAGAGAGAATTGAAGAGAGTTCTGAAGAACAATTTTGTATGTCTATGACAGGATTGTTGTCTGGACCGCAAGCTATAGAAGAGTTTAATTGAGATATGACTTTTTGCAATGGAAATTGAAGTGATTTGAATGTCTAACAATGGCTTAATCTGTTTAATTGGAATGGAAGGAAGAGTATGGCCATAAGATTCAATAGTCAAATTTGAAGAAAAGTTCTTTGCAAACAGTTCTGCCTTATCTTTGGGAAGGTAATAAGATGCTACCATTGTTAATGATGCTGTTGAAGATTTTCCAAAAGTCTCTAGAGCTTAACATCTGAGATACAGGATTTAGTGAACTGAGAATAATGGAGCTTAGCATCAGACAGCACTTTTTTACACCTCTTTCTTGCAATGATAAATAGCCATTTCTTTTAAAGATAGTTATTCATTTGAAAAAGATAGATAAATGCTTACAATTAGATATAGCAGCAGTACAAGAAGGTGAAAACCATGTAGTAGAATAAGGTTTGACTTGGAACCGACAAGGATGAATAAAAATTTCTACCTAAATTCAGGAGTTTATGTAGGAGGCGCATTTATCAGCTGAGAGAGAAAAGGCATCAGCCCAAGGACCGTCACAAAAAAATCACAAAAAGAATCCAAGCTTTAGGGTAGTAGTAAGTAGGGTGGTGATAGGGTTAGTCCGAATAAGAAGTATGAGATGAAAGATTTATAGAGATCATTGTATGGTCAGAACCACATAAGAGAGAAAAGTGTAAAACTGAACACAAACTAGAGTCAGAGACAAGACACAAACTAAGGCCTGAATAAAGGTAATGAAGGAGTAAAGGTAAATGATTAGGGCTGTCAGGAAAACAAGTCACAAAGTTAACTATCTGAGTAAGAGGTTAAGAAATGCAGAAGTTATAGTCTTTACTGCCAGCAAGGTCAGTGGCATTAGAGCCAAGCCATTCAGTGTGGTGAGCATTAAAGTCTGCAACAACAACAATATTGGCAGAGGGGTAAACAAAAAGCCCATGGTAAATTTAATCAGAAATTACATCTAAAAGAGTGCAGTCTTGGGAAGAAGGAGAATAATAAAGAACAATGAGAACAGTGATAGAGTGAAGAGGTGGTAAGCGGAAGCACATAAAAGAATGGTCAAAGGATTCAAACCTGATTTCAAAATAATTAAATGAATTAATGCGTATGTATTGTAGTTTTTGCAAATCAAAGGGTAGTGTTTATCAACACTGAGATATGAAGAAGGAATAGCGGAACTTGAATTAGTCTCACTAAAAGCAAGCAAGTCTGGTGGACTTTGCAAGAGGTAAGATTCAACTAATGGAAGGTTGTTTTGCACACAACAAATATTTATAAAAGATGTATTAAAACAATTTGGTGGTGAAGATGGTTTTTTATGTTTAAAAAACATTCACTTTGAACACAATTTAAGTTTAAAGAGAACTTGACTCATTCATAGATAGAGCACAGTCTCCTCAGCAATGAGCTATGCAGTTTTCTCAGTCTTGTTAACTAACCCTAAATCTTAACAAAAGTCTCCTTATGTGGCCTCTAAAATGCACACCAAAAATCATTAACAGAGACATTATCTATGCACAACATGGCACTGTTAATACTCTGATACTCTGTAGCTGTTAATCAGCCTCTCTGAGTACTACCACAGAGTTCGAGAAACCTTACTACCAGCCAGCCTTAGAGCTATTAAACTGAGTTTTAGAGTTGTACTCTCATTAGGAGATAATGAGAAGAGTTGCACTATCAAGGAGGCACAATTAAAAATCTGTGAGTAGAGTCAAGAAGATCCAGCATTCATCATCCTAGGCAGGAAAGAGTGTAAGATAGGCTTATACCTTTGCCAACCTAATAGATGAAGAAAGGGATTTAGCATATTCCTTTAGTCTTTACCTAAAAGGCCTTCTACAAGACAGTAGCTGGATACAGTTAACATCTGTCCAAGATGAGTATTTTTATCGAGACACCATCTAAAGCTCTTGATTGAGCCTTTACTCAATCAAGAGCTTCACGGCAGAGAATTTTTAAGTCGGAGTTTGTTAGCAACTTACGGGTGAGTAAACATAGTGCAAGAGGTTAAGACAGAATAGAAACATGCATATAAAGTAAATTTTAGGTTAGTTAATATAGCAACAAAGGCGCCTCCAACTATAAAAAAGACACAACTAAACTACTATAGACATGACAGATATTAAGTACTGATGACAGGAAGTAGACTTCTTCGAACCTTTGCTTAGAAAGTGAATCCTACAAGGCATCAGGTTGCACTGGGTTACATGTTACTAGTTACTAGCAACATGTAACCGACTAGTAGTAGCAGGGTGATCATGAAGAACATACAACTGATGTTATTGTGTAAGGATATTATACTGCTGGTTTAGGTGAGCAGCCTGATGTCATAATAAAATAGCCTGCTGTCAGGGACTTCAGTACATACATCCACTGACTCGTACTAAAGTGTTGCTACATCTACTGAGGGTTTGGCATGGAGTAGCAATCTTTTCTTTTATTATTCTTCGTTTTTTTTTTCTTTTGAAAAAAAAAACAAAAAATTTCTGATAATTCCTATTTAATTACAAATTAACAAAAAAATGGAAACAATTTATTACATAAATATGCTATAGTAGATACCCTTGATTAAAACTTTATATTTATAACAAATAAATAAAACTAAATCATATAAAAACAATTTATCTAGATCCAACTCTTTCACTTGACAATGATAAGTTTACTAAATAAATCCCTTTTTGTAAAGTATATTAACTACTAATGCCACTAAACTAATTTATGTCTCAATGACCAATATTGACTTACTGAACTATAGTTTATTTTTTCCTCAATTTCATTTTAAATAATGTAGAAAATTTATAAATATAACCATAACATAAAACATAAATATAATTATTTGTACCAGCAACATCAAGTTGAATTGTAAATCCACTAACACACAAATGTGGCTGAGTAATGCAATCGGCTCCAAATTGATCGCTCATTAGTGAAGTATGAAAACTGTTTATATTATTTTGTAAATATTGAGTGCTTCCAAACAACTTCTGGCTACCCCTGATGTTTTTATAGATGTAGTAATTTGTATACTTGATGAAGTTTGCACTTAACCAAATAAAATCGGCTAAATTTAAAGCAAAAAACAAAAATAAAAAACTAAATGAGAAAAACAACTAAAAGCTGTTTTAATAGATAAATAATTGATTTTTTAGGTCTTGCTGTTAATGATGTTGATTAAATTAGTAGATGAGACGTCTGTTTTTACTCTTTGATCTCCGTAGCCGTAATGGCAAAATTTTTGTAAATATTAATGCACAGACTTTTTAGTGTATGAATATAGTGTTGAATGCAATCTCATAGGTTGAATCCAACTTTGCACCTCTGATGAATGCAAGTTTTAACTTGCATTCATCAGAGATGCAAAGTTGGAGTCCAAAGTCCAGTCTCTGTTTTTACCCGGAATCCAGAGTTCTACCTTATTCTTACCTCATAAAAATTGATGGGACTCCAGGATTTTTATAATTTTTTATCAGCATATTTTTTTTAATTTATTTTACAATTCTTAACAAACCATTAGTAGCCTCTATAAGTTTATTAATTTAAATTTTTTCAGCCAACAGTTACATGACTTTAAACTAGTAAAAGCAAAAATGCATTATACATACACTGCTTATAGCAAGCCCTCCAGCAAATAAATTATTCACAAATGTGCATCGCATATATGGAAATATATTACCAATAGCATACACTGCTTTTAAAAAGTATAAGAGGCAAATCACAGCACATGCAATGTACAAAATCTTTGGTTTACACTGATAGCTAGATTCAGAATTATGCTTAGGATAGGATTGTCATTGTCAAACTTTTATGTAGGAGAATGAAATAAAAATTCTAATTTAAATTAGTTTAGCACTTTGCTTTCCTACCTAAAAACAGGGACTATGGCAACCCTAACTTAGGAACAAATGTTTACACACTTAAACCTTTTGAGTTGGTGCCAAAGTATAAGAATGTATTTTTTTAACATGTTTTTTTGATGTTATTGCTTAAACTAACAGATATGGTTTTACTGATTAAAAAAAGTTTTAAATTCATATTTGTAAGTCATATAAGGGGTCATTTGTTAGCTCTTAAGGAAAGCGTTGGGGAGGGGTTAGGCGTTTTTATGACAACTTGAACTATAATTTTTTACAGCATAAATAAAATTTTATTGTCTACTCTAGCAATTCAGAGATTATTTTATCGATAAAAACTCGAACAAATAGATTCAAAAAAATTACAAAAAAACTAAATTCAGTATCCGAAGTCCAAGATGTCCCTATTTTTTGACGCCGGAGTTTAAAGTACCTAAAAATTAATAGGGCGCATCCCTAGCATTTGTTATATAAAAAAAAATTTCGAGGCTCTTCTCAAAAACTTACTCATCCCAAGGTAAGTTGTCGCAAACTACAAAAATAATTATAAATGCACTATTAAGTGCAAAATTTATTTATAAAATTTTTTACTATTTATTTTGCAAATAGTTTAAAGCCAAAAATTTAATATTACTTTAGCTGTTACCAAATATTAGTTTGAACAATAAGCCAAAACAATAGCACACTTTTTATCCATTAAAAAAAATCCTAAAAATTTTTTTTTTTTTTTTTTGTAAAAATAAAAGTAAAAATAAAAAAAATAATGATTTTATAAAAATATTTCCTTTTTCTATAGTAAATGCTATGACCCAACTAACCCTGTTAAAATTGTGTCTGACTCCAAAAGCCTTTTTTTTAATAAAATGTCTATAGATCTTGAAAAACTGCAAAGTTAAGGCAAAAAAATTGAAAAAAAAACTGACTGAAAATAGTAAACCAATTATGACTGAAATCTTTACAATAATTTTTTCATTCAACTAACAATTTTCTTTTTAAAGTAAAAAAGAAGCGATATTTCAAAAATTACATTTTTGTCCAATAAACACAAATAAATCCCAATATCTCTTATGTACATTGGCAAACTCTAACATTACTACAGTGAAATATGAAATGGTCAATTAGCACTTTCAATTTACACCTGCTGCCAACTAGTCTTGGTCTCTACTATTTATTCTTAGATTGGCTTAATAACATAACATTTAACATAACTGAACAACATTTTATAGATTTTAGAAGCTGTAGATGCTCCAAAAATGGAAAAGAAAACACTACATAAAATGATTTGAACTTTGAAAATATTGACCAGATAAAAAAAACCTATGGGAATAGATTTTTTATTTGACATGTGGACAATCTGGACAAGGAATTACTCTTGCCTCACTAAATTTCTATTTAACATATGGTAAAGCTGTTATTTTGTTACTCTTAACAGAATTTAAAAACTATATTGAATGTTTAAAAACAATTTTTTTGAATTCAAAATAATTACTTTTAAACCAAATTAATACTAGTAAGAAGATTAATTAGACAACAATTGGAAGGATCATTCTTCAGAGTATAAGTATCCAAAATTATTATGATTGGAATTAGCAGCTGTAACCTCAGAGACATTTGTAAAAAAGAGAAAAATAACTCACCTTATGATATATCAGCTCAACCTTGGATGCTAAAGCAGGTCCAGCTACATTTACAATAAAACACAATTTTACACCTTTTTTAAAAGAGAATAAGCATTAATAAAAGAAGCAGCCAAATATTAAAACAGTAATCTGCAAAAAAATGGATAAAAGATTTCTAAACTAAATCAACAAAAAGAAATTATAACTAACAGAAAGAAATTGATATCGATAGAAAGAAAATAAAAATGACTTTTTTTATTTAGGCAAACTTTGACAGGTGCAAATTTTTTAACAGATAGGATATATTGCTCCAATGAGTAGTTTAGGATGAAAAGTTATCTGCAGTAGAAAACTTATTATGAGTGTTTTATTTATCATTATGTCAACATTATTATTGTGACAATAATCAGGAGCAAATATATTTGTTTGAGTTAGAATACACTATACGCAGCATACTGTCCTACAAAGGAGCTTTTTTGATTGTTTTAAGCAATCAAAAAGTGATGACTTGCTATCATAATTGGAGTATCTATTGTTGTATAATGGGCATATAGAGACAAAAAAAAAGGATCAAAATCTCTATTAATTTTTAACAAGTAAGTTGATGGAATCAAAATGAGTTACTAGAAGTAGTTAAAGACTCAAAGCCCTTGCTAAAAAAAACAAGAAGATTGAACAATAGTTAAAAGAATTAGCAATACCCATAGTATTTAAATAAATACAGAGGCTATCTTTCAGCAAAAACAAGATTCAGTTAAGCATATAATTTTATCAATTCTTTTACAACATGTTTTTTTGTTGTGTTATTAATAAAAGTTAATGATATAATTTTTCTTTGCTACAATTGCTTTTTTAATTTTTTTTTTCTTTTTTTTTCATTTGTTTTTTAATTTTAATTTGTCTTCTTTTTATCTAACATTTGAAATTTCATTTCATTTTAAATGAAATGAAAGCTTATGTTCCAAATTTGTTCAATTTTAAGAAACATGATTTTTTTTTAATTTTTTCATTATTATTTTTTAGCAGTAGTATTTAAATAACTTTAACAGTTTTTACTTTTTATTAATTATAATAGTTTTGAATAATTATTATTATTCAAATGATTTAATCCAATGATTAAATTTTTATTTAAATTATAAGCAAAATACTTTAAAACTTCTATAACTCTAAGCTTTAAAACTTCTATAACTTAACTCTAAGTAAGAGTGGTGTAGTGCTAGAGTATTTGCTTTGTAAGAAAGATGTTCTGAGTTCAATCCCTGCCAAGCATATACTAGCATTCCCCTTAACTTGTTTCTCCATGCAGTAGCCTAACTCATCAAGGTTTGTGTTGTGGAGTTTAAGACTTGAGAGAGGGTTGCAACAACAGTTGAAAATAGTTTCATTCATAAAGGAGGAAAAAAAACTAAAAAAAAGTTAAAAAATTAGTAGCCATCCCAATCTCCTTTTTGAGTAATAATAATAAAAAAAAAAAAAAAAAATCTAAAACTTTAACAGAAATAAAAAATTTAAAAAAAGAATATTTAAATTAAACTACAGTGGTACGCTTAACATTAAGTCTAAATATAAAAAAAATTCTTTAAATTTAATGAATAAAAGTCTTTGATACACCTTTATACATTAAGCCTTTGATATGCATTAATAATAGAATTAAAAACTTAGTGTAAAAAATTAATGCATTATAATCAACTTTGTTAAATAAAATGTCCAACCTAACACTTTATATCACAGATCAACCTATGTTGTAATACAATAGTTGCATTTATATGAAAATCAAACAAAAATTAATTAACCTGAAAGGTAATCATCTCCAATTAAAGTAATAGATATGCTTTGTTGCACATTTAAAAACCAGTTTAAACAACTTAGGTTAATTTCAGATGTTCGAAATGGTTGAAGAATAATTCTTTGCGAAACTGTAAATATCTGGAACACCAAAAAAGAATTACAAATTTTAAATTATAGATATTTATATACACCATACTATTTACTGATGCATGATACTCTTAACTCAGTGTGATTCACCAGTAAAAATACTTTTAGTTTTTTGATTTGTTTTTTCTTTTTTAATGCAAACTTGACTAGTAGAATTTATTAATGTTTTATTTACACATAAAAAAGTAATTTTATTCTATAAAAAAAATTATTTAATTATAATTTTTAATTTGAATGACCCTTATTTATAATTTGTACAGATATAAAATTTTTTAATTATAATTTGTACAGATGTATCTATATAACTTTTATTAATTACTCACAGTAATATCAAACAAACTGTTGTCTTTGTAGGACACAAATTGGTCGTTCGCACTATAGTAGATACAAAACTTTAATAAACAATCAATTTTATCAAATTCCATTCCTGATATAAGTGAAGATTTATCCAATTTGATACTTAAGAAATCACTGGCCATAAACTGGTATAGTCCAATTATAGGATTTTCTACAACAACATGAAAGCACAAATCATAAAATTTTTAACTCTATTTTTATATACTGTGTTGAACAGCTTTTAATAAACTTTTAATAACCATGCACAACTGTGTTGAACAGCTTTTAATAAACTTTTAATAACCATGCACATCTGTGTTGAACAGCTTTTAATAACTATGCACAATAAAATTGTGCATGGTTAATAGTTAGTCAGTACTGTCTGGTCTGTAGAGTTTTTATTTATTTATAAGATATATAATTCAAGAAAATCACTAGGAAAATTTACTTTACCAAATAAATATTGAACAGGTTCAATAAATCTAAAGTCCATAGTGAAGTAAGCCAAAGGATTTTCTGAGATAGCAAAAACTTGGATTTCAGAAGCCATAAATGGATTTAGCAAATCATAACTGAACCATTGAGAGCTAGCATAGTTTCCATTAAAAATCTAAGATAGAATGAAAAAGTAAGAAGTAAAAAAATATGTAAATAGTTAATTTAATATTACTAGAACATTTAATAATTACTAGAACATTTATTAGCTATAAAAAAATTAAAAATTGCTATTGATGTGCATACTGCACACAATTAAAGACTTTGCATAGTTATAGTTAATGACTTACAATTTGAAAACTTTAATATAGGTTATAACAAATGACTGTTATTTTTAGTTTGATTTTTATTGTGTTATTTAAAAACAAAAATTAAATATAGTTGATGTAGTGTTATTTTTCATTTATATAATCTATTGTTTTTTATTCTTATATTCAGAATAGGGTAAAACTATTACAATATTGTTTGATTATATAATAACTTATATTGATATATGATAAATATAATTGCAAGTTTCTTGTTGTTTGGAACTTATTAATTAGATATAAACTAGATTTAAATCTAATGTTGCAAAGTTGATTTCATATTAACTATTGTTAAAAAACTTGATTGAATTTTAAAACATGAAATAAGGATGCTGCCAACATTTTAAAATCTCTGCTGCTGACCGTGCAAAGTTACAACAAAGTTGAAATACAAAAGATATAAAACTTTTATTATTTAACTATATATTCTGAAATTTATGAAGTGAATTTTAAAAAAAACTTAGGTTATTTATTGTTGAAAATATTATACAAACTTTTTCAGATTTTAAGTGCAATTTATGTGTTAAAATTTCAAACAAAAGTATTATTATTAAACACTTAAACTTTTAAATCAATGGAACTTTACTTTATAGAAAATGACGTAATAACCTATTGAGTTCTATTCTATTCTATCATAATGATTTCTATTCTAAAAGTATGTGATGCTAATTATGATGATGATGATAATGATGATGATGATAAGGAGGAGGATGATGACAATAATGATGATAACGATGAAAATGATGAAAATGATGATGATGAAGATAATGATAATGATTATCATGATGGTAATAATCACAATCTATTGCTAAATTTTCACTCATGATGATAATGATGATGATGATGATAATGATGATGATGATGATGATGATGAAGATGATGATGATGATGATTATGATGATGACTATCATTATGTTCATGTTAATGATGATGATCACAATTCATAGCTAAATTTTCAAAAACCTGGAGAAAAACTACCTTTGTTTGATTGAATTCTGTGTATAAAACAAAATCTCTGTCACTATTTAAACGAAAAGACAACCAGATTCCACCAATTGAGTTAAATTCATTATAAGTACCTGAATTAACAATAAACTGATGAACTAACTTAATTCCATTTATTTTTACAGTAAAATATGCAACAGGTGATCCGTCAAACCCTGGGTCAATTGGACTTATTGATAAATATGAGGTACTTGTGATGTTCATCATACTTCTGACATCTTTCAGAGTAATACTTATGTTATTGTTGTAATAAAAAGCCTCCGTTATTTGATAATCATTGCTTGTAGAAGGCACATAGTACACTATAAAAAATAAAGGTTGTATAAACACAATTGTAAATATGTAAGAAATAAATACACACATATCTATTTATATATATATATATATGTACATATATATATATATATATATATATATATATATATATATATATATATATATATATATATATATATATATATATATATATATATATATATATATATATATATATATATATATATATATATATATATATATATATATATATATATATATATATATATATATATATATATATATATATATATATAGACCCTTGTAAGGTTGTCAGAAAGTTTTTCCATATTTTGTTAACATAAAAAAAAAATTTAAATGCAATTTAAATGCATAAAATTTTTTTTTCTCTTTTAAAATCTTATTTGATAGACTGCCTGCCCAAACCAAGCCCTCAGTCAATGTAGCAGCACTCCTTTGAGAGTCAGGCTATTTGTCAGTTGATATAGCAGCACTCTCTTGCGAGTCAGACTATTTGTCAGTTGATGTAGCAGCACTCTGTTGCAAGTCAGACTATAAGTTAGTCAATGTAGCAACATTCAATTCATAAAAACATTCGGAATGTTTTTAAAAATGTGATACCTAGAAAACCGGACAAAAGTTCAGTCTACATAAATTGTTTAAGGAGTGTTGCAAAATTGTTGCAGCTTATGCTATGTTGTAGTAAATTTAATTCTCTACAAATTGTAATATATCTTGTAGCAAACAATTATTTATAATGGCAAAGAAAATCATCTCAAAACAGGAAGACCTCAGAAAGCGCGTGTATGCGTTAATCAATTTTTATCCGAAATGAAGAAAAGTGAGATTGTGCAACCCTATATGATTGAAGGCGCATCAAGGTCGACCCTGTATGATATTCTTCAGCGCAAGGCGCTCAAAATTGGCCTGAAAGACAGCATTGAACTGAATGGGTGGCAATCAAGATTAAAACAAAACAAATCACCATGTTGAAAAAGTAAATAGATCATAGTGATGGAGTTAGACAGCGTCAGCTAGCCCGCGAGTATGGTATCAGCCAAAAGCACATATCAAAAATAATAAGCACCAAGACAACAATCAAAAACAAAAAGAAGAAAAAAGTTTCGGATTGAACTTGGCAACAGAAGTCAGCCGTTTGTCCAAAGTGTGCCCACCTGGCCAGAGTTTTCCAGAAAAAGAAGGTGATTATCAACAACGAGTACTATTTTTCGTTGAGCAGTAACGAGCTATCTGGAAGTACTGGTTTCTACACATCTGACATCAAAATGACTCCAGAAGCTGTTAAACTCAAGCGCAAGTCCAAGTTCAAGCCAAAGGTACTTGTTTGGATTGCTATGTCCAAGGACGACCTGACAAAGTACCTGGTGACACCTTCGGGCCAAGCGATCAATTAAGATATCTTTATCCAGAAGTGCTTGATGAAACGCTTGATACAGTTCATCGAAAAAGTTTATAAGAACAACGAGATGGTTTTCTGACCTGACCTCACAATGTCTCATTACGCAAAGAAGATGCAAGAGTTCCTCCAAGCGAATAACATCAAATTCGTGCCTAGGGAGCACAACCCTTCCAACCTGCTAGAACTCCAACCAATCGAAGACTTTTGGTGAGAACTCAAACAAAGAATATATGATTGTGGCTGGAGAGCAAAAAACATGGATCAGCTCACTGACAGGATTAACTACTGCATAAAACTGATCAGTCAAGATCGCGTACATCAACTTGGCAAGGCTTCTTTTAGCCGAGTAGACAAAGTTCGCAGACATGGCATGAAAAACTTATAATTTTTTTAAATCTGAAGCTTCATATGATTAACTTTAATTATCTTTTTACAGAAATAAAATTGCACCTCTAGTCTCAAAGTTATAAGTTTTTTAGTTTTGTCCGGATTTCTAAGTATCACATTTTATATATATATATATATATATATATATATATATATATATATATATATATATATATATATATATATATATATATATATATATATATATATATAAATATATATATATATATATATATATATATATATATATATATATATATATATATATATATATCAATATTCATTTATTTATTTATATATAAAATTGAAGTTTTATTCCTTGTAGGCAATCATCAGCCATAAAATACAGATTTAAAAATATAAAATTAAAAAAAAATATTAAATATAAAAATTGGAAATGTAATTAAAGAATCTGTAAATCTAATTAAAGAAAATGTATGCTATAATAATGGTTGTCAAATCACCAGTGTTCTAGGAGAATAACCTAAATTTGTTTTTGTGTTTTAACATAAAAACCATTTCTACCTGTTTGTTAAGACCATATACCAGCCTACTTGCTCTTGTGACTTGAGTTCAGTTGTCACATTTTGTAACCTTAGTGTTGATTGTTATCTTCCTTTAATTTATAAAGATTCCAATAATCACATATACACATTTGTAAGAACTCACCCATTTTCTGGAAACTAGGTTTGTATCCACAGACTATTCTTTTATGTGCTTTTACTAAGCACCTTTTTCTTTGCTCTATATTGCTTTCCTGTATTCCAAAACTGCACTCTTTTCGATGTTATTTCTGATAAAATTAACTGAGCTCTTTCTCTTTATCCTTCAACTAATATTATTGTTGTTAGTGATTTTAACACTCATTACATTGAATGGTTCTAATGTCAGTGACTATGAAAGTGTTAAGGCCCACAAATTTTGTCTTTCTTAATCTCTAATACAAATAGTTAACTTTTCAACTTGCTTTCCAGAAAGTCCAACTCATTTTCTCTACTAGACTTATGTACTGTTTCTGATCCTAGTCAGGGCTCAGTTTCTTCATATTCATCCTTAGGTGCTTCTGATAATGGTTTGCTCTCTCTAAAACTATTATCTCATTATTCTTCATCATCAGAATCCCCTTATCATCCTACCTTTTACAACTACCTTAAAGCTGATTGAGAATTTTTCCATGATTTTCTTTGTGATGGTCCTTGGGTAGAAACTTTTCATCATCCAGGTGACAAATGTGCTGTTAATGAAACTACTTGGATTTAGGCTGGCATGGGATCTTTTATTCCCTCTCGATGATACCAAGTCAAGCCTCACTATTTACAATAGCTTTCCTCTCATTGTGCTGCTGCATATTCCAATTGCAGACTTGGACAGGAATGGCGTGTGATCGAGCGCTATTGCTGATCACGCAAATGACTTTATTTTTTGACAACTTGACCACGATTGTTTAATAAACAATGTTTATATGTTTTGATGAGTTAAAAATTTCAGAAATGTTCTGAATGTAGAAACGCTAAGCTAAACTTAAACTAGGAAAAAATTAAAAAAAAACTAACAAAAAAAGAAAAGAAAAACAAATTCATAACGAAAAAGAAATTATATAAGCTCTAAAATGAAAATAAAAACTTAAACTCGAAGCAAAACTTTTAGTTACGTTTTTAATTACGTTTGAAATAAACATTATTAAAACTTATCTTTTTAAGCATTATTAAAGTTAAGCAAAATGTTTTTAAATTAAGTATCAAATTACTACTAATGATTGGTTTAATAAAAGAATAAATTTTATTAAATTTATTAAAAAGTGTTTTATATAATATTTTTAAATTGTATAAACATTTATTTTGTCAAAAAAGTTGCAAAAAAAAAAATTGTTTAAAAAAATAACGTAGTCTTCTTAAAATAGTAGTTTTTACTAATTTCATGCTCTAATTAGTGAGTCTAATTAAAAACAAGGTTTTGAATTTTTTTATTCGTAAAAATAGAAGAAAAAATAAATTAAAAAAATAAAATGCGCCTGCAATTTAAATAAATTAACTGCCAACAAGCTTTTTAACTTAATTTTAATTTGAGCATTACAACTTTATTAATTAGCACTTCGCATAACGAATTTAAAAATTATTATAAAAGATTTAAACTCATTTCTAACAAAATTGAAAAAAAAAAAAAAAAAAATTGTTTACAAAAAATAAAATGTTTATTTCAAACATTTTTAAAAATCATAAGTTTATCATAAAAATTAATCCTATGAACATTACAAAATGCTTTAAAACTTTTTCATTAAATCAACAAAATACATGCTTATATAAGTAAATAAAGTTATTTTATATTTTTGTGTAACTCACATAAAATGTGTAAAAGTTAGTAGTCACAAAAGCTTTTGAACTTATTAACAAATTAAAGGAACTTAAAAAAACTCTTTCTAAAAATTATGTTTTAAAAATGTTTTAGGAATACATAAGAAAATAGTTTCAAACATTTAAATTTATCATAAAAAATAAATGCCTACATAAAAAAAACTTATTTATAATGTTTTTTATTAATTTAGGTATTGTGGTTTATCCTCCTCCGGCTAATTGCCATATAGAGGCCACATTACCAAGGCCCGCAAAGACAGGTTCGGCTCCCCAAGGATTGTCATAACCTGCTCTATGGACCAAGAGTAAAGTGAGTTTAGGAAGAACGAAGATATGTTAGAGTAAAGGACAGAAGTAGTTGTGTTAGAAAGACAGCATAGAGAAAGCGGACAGGATTGCACTCGATGTTAGGAGGTGCAATAACGGTAACACAAATACTAAAAAGAAGTTTAGATGTGTTTTTTTATTAATTTACACAAGCGTTTATGTAAATAATAACTTTAATTAATTTTATGGTTTTATTTAAAGCCTTTGCGTAAAATAAAAAACTTTAGAAAAGATCAACAATTAAAAGATATTTATAACGTAACACTTTTTTTATTGCATTCAAATTGTTAAAACATCAAAATAGCCGTGGTCAAGTTGTAAATAAATAAAAATATTAGCGTGGTCAGTTACAGAGTGCGATCGCACGCCATTCCTGTCCAAGGCTGCAATTGTAATCATTACAATCATATCTATCGACAAAAAAATTCACCAAAAAATAGACATCTGTTTACTATTGCTGGGAACCATTATAATAAAGTTTTGACTAATGCCGAAGCCTGCTATTCTCAGGTCACAAAATATTGTATTTTATCTCAAAAAC